AAAAAGCCACTTTTGTGTGATTTTGTTTAAACATTGCCTTGAGATCCAAAGCTTTACCTGTTTGCCTGTAGGCCTGTCTCTAATTACGTGCAGTCTGTGTGAGATGATATGTTCTGGGTGCCTGCCAGCATCTACCTGTGTTTCAGTTAGTATGTCATATCTGTCTGTGGCTATTCACATCGTTAATTTCCCAGCCTCCTGTGATCTTTCTCTTCTGGTGTTGGAGCTCACACCTGACACATACACACATGCATGTACAAAGTGCATAATTACATATACATGTAAACTCACATACACATGTATGCATACTCACATGCACAATATAACCACGCACATGAGCACAGGCATACATTCATACATAAGTACACCCACAAGCGTGTACATTCATATATGCAAAAATACATAAAAACACATAGGAATACAATTATGCACCCAAATATGTAAATACACATGCCCAGTATACCCATGTGCGTGCACACGTGCGTGCACACACACACACACACACACATACAATCATGCTATTTTTCTTACAGTGTTCTAAGAACACTGCAAAGCTCATAGGTAATTTGAATGTAAAAGATCCAATAGCATGGTAGTGCACACCTGTAATCCTAGTGCTTTTGTTCTGGAGGCAGGAGGATCAGGAATTCAGTGGGTTTGAGGCCAGTCTGGGGTACATAAAGCCCTGTCCCAAAAATCAAATAATAGGATTCCACAAAAGGCGAGGAGCAAGCAACTGAAAGGCATTTTGATGAGGAGCTATACCACAGGAATGAACTAAGAATTAGCAGAGATGTGAGTATTCCAAATTAGCTGAAGCATGAAGTACAAACTGGGAAAGACACAAGCAGGCTGGACTGGCAGGCAGGGCAAGGCTGTGAAAAGTCTTACCAACAATTTTAGAGGATGAAATCACTAACCTGAAGGCAAAAACAATCTTTGGTTTCCCCCCACCCACTGACCCCATCCCCACCCACTGACCCCATCCCCGCCCACTGACCCCACCCCCACCCACTCGCCCTACCCCCACCAAGAAAGGGGTCTCTATGTAGTCTGGCTGTCCTGGAACTTACTTGGGTCTGTAGACCAGGCTGGCCTCGAACTCAGAGATCCACCTGCCTCTGCCTCTCTAGTGCTGGGACTAAAGGTGTGCGCCACATTTTAAGCTTATTTTAAAGCAGGAAGTAGTGTGGTCAGGCTATGTTAAGAAATACCAACGAGCTTCACAGGTGATTTGGTGATTAAGTGAACTTGCTGCTCTTGCAGAGATCTAATTTCAGTTTCTGTACCTACAAGTAGCTCACAACAGCCTGTACTTCAACTCAAGGGGATCTGATACCTCTTCTGGCTTCTATGCGCATGAAACCCATGGGCACGTGCGTGCGCGCGCACACACACACACACACACAAATGCATGTTAAATCTTTTGGTTTTTTTTTTTAATAGAAGGCAAACAGCATCGTGAAGAGGAAAGCAGAGCATATAAAATTGGTAGCAGGAGCCTTGAAAGCAACAGTAGAAAAAGGGTTCAAGGACCGAAGTGTTTGCATTGGAAATGGAAAGAAGGACTGTGAGGAAATGGGGGTTCTATCTAGCAGTGGCACTGACTGCATAGCATGAAGGCTGAGAAGAAGGCTCAGTGGTTAAAGCATTTATGCTGTAGGCAAGAGGGCTGGAGATGGGATTCCCCAGAACCCACATAAATGACAGGTGGGTGTGGCAGCTCACCTGTAATTCCAGCTATGGAAGGCAGAGACAAGAAACCTCCAGAGCAAGCTGGCTAGCCAGATCAGTCATTCAAAAGCTCTGGAATTGACTGGGAGACCCTTCTCAAATACTAAGGAGGAAGAGTGATTGAGAGGAAAGAGTACTGGGCCAGGTGGTGGCGCACGCCTTTAATCCCAGCACTTGGGAGGCAGAGGCAGGCGGATCTCTGTGAGTTTGAGACCAGCCTGGTTTACAGAGTGAGTCCAAGACAGGCTCCAAAGCAATACAGAGAAACCCTGCCTTAAAAAACCAAGAGAATGAGTCCTGACATCAACCTTAGGCCTTGACACACATGTGCACACATGGACACCTCCTCTGCATCCACCCCCACACACATGCACACCACACATGTACAAGAAAGGAAAAGCAACACAAAGTGAGAGGCTAGACATTCACTGCACAGACCCTAGCAAGCTCATGTGAACTGTTTCAACCATAGAATGGAATGAGTACTGCACTCAGAGTTAGAACATGCCTCAGAAGGTTAAATGGAGCAGAGACACTGCATTTAAAACAAAACAAAAGCCCTGTTGGAATTGTTATTATTGTAGTCTCAAATGTCAGGGGGTCCTAGGTATCTTGTGAATTGGCACTGTTTCTGCTTTTCTATTTCACAACCAGTTGTTAAACTGAGACCAAGAGTTCAACTGTTGGGAGACATCATTCTGTAAATATGTTTCTGATTGGTTTGAATAAAGCACTGTTGGCCAATAGGGAAACAAAAGAGGTGGGATTAGGAGTCTAGGGGGATTCTGGGAATTGTAGTGAGGAGAGCTCTCACCATGTGATCTCCTGGGAGCAAGGGCACTCAGAAGTGCATCCTCAAAAAGATAAGTTCTTAGCCGGGCATTGGTGGTGCACGCCTTTAATCCCAGCACTCGGGAGGCAGAGGCAGGCGGATCTCTGTAAGTTCGAGACCAGCCTGGACTACCAAGCGAGTTCCAGGACAGCCTCCAAAGCCACAGAGAAACCCTGTCTCGAAAAACCAAAAAAAAAAAAAAAAAGATAAGTTCTTATAAAATATATATTAGTAGTTATGGGTTAATAATCAAGTCAGAGCTAGCGGATAAGAAACCAAGCAAACAGCCAGCAGCTTCATAATTAATATAGCCTCCTGTGTGTTCATCTGGGACTGACATGGCTCTGGAACCAGGCTGGCGGGAAGACTACACATTACATTCAACAGTTCCAAGTGTGGCTCCAGACAAGCAATGGCTATACCTGTGAGCATGTTAGAAATGCAGTCTCAAATTTCACACAAACCTAGTCAGTACCCCAAAGCAGAGTAACAATATTCTAGAAAGCTCTCTGAACTGATTCTATTGTGTGGTCTATTATGGGATTTGCTGATTTCAACACACATAATTGATGGGGGCTGTCCTTCTGTATGCTGTGAATATGTTTCTCTTATTGGCTGATGAATAAAGCTGTTTCGGCCAATAAACAGGCAGGGTTTGGGGGGGGATCCAAACAGGGATAGGATAGAGAAAGGTCACAGGCAAAGTCAGGGAGACTTGCTGAGGAAGCAAGAGGCCTGGGCATCACTGGTAAGCTAAGACCACTTGGAGATACACAGATTAATAGAAATGGGTTAGTAATAAAGAGAGTTGATCAATAAGAAGCCTGAGCAATAGGCCAAACTGTTTATAATTAATATAAGCCTCTGTGTGTTTATTTGTGACTAAAGGGCTGCAGGACCCAGCAGGACAGAAATTTCCATCTACACAAAATCTCTAGTCTGAGTTCTTGAAGTCCCTTAATATGTCCCTCTTACATTTCCCTGGAATATATCATTCAGATTACTGTGGGTTTTTTTTTTTGTTTGCTTGCTTTTTTTTTTTTTTTTTTTTTTTTTTTTTGGTTTTTCGAGACAGGGTTTCTCTGTGGCTTTGGAGGCTGTCCTGGAACTCGCTCGGTAGACCAGGCTGGTCTTGAACTCACAGAGATCCGCCTGCCTCTGCCTCCCGAGTGCTGGGATTAAAGGCGTGCGCCACCAACACCCGGCCTGTTTGCTTTTTTTTTTTTTTAAAGGTACCAGTATCCATAACTGTAGGAAATTGGCTTAGTTTCATAAGACTTTGAATCTCAGAACATTAAATATATGATCTGAACTCTGGAAAAGTGTCTGCCACCTAAATTATGTGCTCTCACGAATGGTTATTTATTATTACTGTCATGCCATTTCATTCACTCCTCAAAATATAACTATTGTCAAAATAACATCACGTGATTAAAGCAATTCAATCTGATAAAACACAGATTAGCATGCAAATCCCAACTGTGGATTTCATTGAACCAGGTTATTTCTACGTATCATGAACATTTTTTCCAAAATTAAAAATAAAAAATTACATTTTAGTATTGTCAATTTGGTTCAGTACTTACCAAAATTAAATATATAGTTTTTTCTTTTGTGTATTTATTTAGTGGCATGAATGCACATGCCTGCGTATACACATGCTTCGAAGAACAGTCCGTGGGGGTCAGCTGTCCCCCATTATATGATTTTTAGGAAAAGTAGTTATTTACTCCATTTTATGTGTGTGTGCCTGAGTATATGTGTGTGTGTGTGTCTGTGTGTATATATACGCGTATGTATGTATGTATGTGTGTATACATATATACATTATGTATGTATATACATACACACGTGTATAAACATGTATGTACACACATACGTACACATTTCTGCTGCCTACAGAGGCCAGAAGGGGGCAGCACTTACCGTGGAACTGGAGCTATAAAACAATTATGATCTGTTATGTGGGTGCTGGGAACCACATCTGGGTCCAAGCGGGAGCAGCAAATGCTAACCACTGAACTATCTGTCCAGACCCATGAAATTTTTAATATATTAAACCTAGGATCTACTGTCAGAAACCTATAAAATAAAGTGGGCAGTGGTGACACACTCTTTTAATCCCAGCATGCAGGAGGCAGAGGCAGAGGCAGGCAGATCTCTGAGTTTGTGGCCAGCCTGGTCTACAAAGTGGGTTCCAGGACAGCCAGGGCTTTTATACAGAGAAACCCTGTCTTGAAACACCAAGGAGAAAAAAAAAAAGAAACCTATGAAATAGAATTAGGGCATGACGTACACCTGTAATCCCAGGATTTGAGAGGTAGAGGCAGGAGGATTACAAGCTCCAGGCCAGCCTCAGCTACATACTGAATTGAAGGCCGGCTGACCTACATGAAATGCTATCTTACTAAAAAGAAAAAGAAATAAAAGAGCATTTCTTTTCTTTGTAAGCTTTATTTTTATCACTCTTATCCACCACATACCAGGAAGCTATCAACAGTGCATTGTATGGTGAGTCAGTTTACAACAAAACTGAACAAGGCAATTGTGTTTACAAAGAAGTTTTCAGCAAAAGCCCGCAAGACAGCTCGCTGAAACACAGTGCTCACACTTTATAGGGAGGTGGAGATAAAGTCCTCTGCTATCAGCAAGAAAACAGACATGTGAAGGAGTGGTGTAGAAATCAGAGATTTAGGGATTTGGAAAAAGAGCATCTTGGTACTAAAGCACATCTATCTACATTTATAGTTCCAATTAGTTAGAACAGAACAACAACAAAAGCCCAACCACTCATAAGCAGTAAAACATCACAAAAAGCAGAATCATAGCATCAAGAAATGCCAAGACCAACACACTATTGAAATACCGGGTAGAAATGTCACAGACAACTACTCATTGCACACTGTAATGCTCCTGTCACTCTGAGAAGATAAACCAACAGAGCGAACACTCCTTAGAACTGGCTTTGGTTTAAGTGACCTTTCACATGTTTTTTTTTTTTTTTTTTAAACCAGACCTCCTATGCCCAAAACAGTAATTCCATGTTGCAAGGGAAAACAGTAGGTTTTCATATTCCCAACCAATCACTCCAGTGCTGACATAGTCTGGAGACCAGATCATAAATGGATTTCTAAGAGTGACAAAAAAGATGGAAAAGTCAGAGCCCTTTTTAGGATGGGAAAAAAGCCTTCTACCCCAGATCTGAACTACTTAGGAGATTTAAGGAATGTTAGAGTATTTTAAGATTTTTCAAAAAAGAATAATAAAAAGTAAATTCTGATGGAAAAGATGTGACAGATTTATATTCTGCTAATTACAGAAGTGCAGATTAAAGGATTTTTTTCCTATAACAATAAACACTACTTATACTTCTTTTCACAAGGTGCTGTAACTCTGCAGTTAGTGCACACTAACGCTATCCACCCCATGTGCAAAAGAAGACAGAGATGCCTGGCCCCCCGTTTTCTTCTGAGCCTCAATTTGTAAGAATAGTAGTGAACCCCAAATGCACAAGGGTTGAAATTCAAATACTTTAAAAAATTAGGACAAACTGACTATGGAGACTTAATCTGGCCTCATAAACCTGACAACTATCTCCTAGGGAAACAAGGTTGAGGAATGTGTAAGAAAGACAATGTTTTTATGCCATAGGTAACAAGTATAGATTTTTAGATCATGAACTGTATGTGGAAGATTACTAATGCCAGTAATGGAGCTACTTTCTTCCTTTTCTCTATTCATATTAATTGTTCTCTTCCTTACTCTTAACTCGACAGCCTCTGGTGACCCACCTAATAAAAGAACATAATAAAGGTAATTCAAGTAACTGAAGAGATTCTGAGGAGCTGACAGAGAAAAGGGAAGTGATTTCATGCAAAGATTTTACTTATCTTTATTTTATGTGCACTGCTGTTTTTGCCTGTATGTATGTCTGCGTGAGGGTGTTGGATTCCTGGATCTGGAGCTGTGAGTTACCATGTGGATGCTGGGACTTGAACCCAGGTCCTCTGGAAGAGCAGCCAGTACTCTTAACCCCCAAGCCATCTCTTCAGCCCTTCAATGGAGGATTTTAAAGAATGATTATATATTCACTTACTGATCAGTGGCTGAAGGTGGTAGTAGCCTGCTTGTTACACAAGTTTCTCAGTAAGAAACAAACAAAAAAGCAAACAATTCCAGTTTTCTTCTCAGAATGTAACTTGCTTTCATTATACAAAGAAGTAGAGATTAATGGCCACGAAAGGAAAACAAGAGCACGTCTTGCTGCCTTTTCAGTAAGCACTAGGAACTCAGTTCACAAAACACACACCACCGTCAAAGGACCCACCAATTTTTCTTCACATTGTTGTGACAGCTACCCAGTTTAGAGAGGTTCCCAGGACGCCAGCATTTGGAATAGTGCCAAGAAACACAACTGTTATGATTATGACTCTCAGAAAGGCACAAATACAGCAAATTTAAAGCAACCATTCCCATAAGCAGCACAAAAACAGGGAAAGTGCTAAGCTAATAGAAAATCAATAGTTTTTATCAGGACAACAGAATTCGTGTAAACTTTTGAGTTTGTTTTATATCCTGAAAAATTACCTTTATGACCATCTATAAAATAGTTTCCTAAAAGAGCTGGGCATGATGGCGCACACCTGTGATGATAAGCAGCCCTTGGGAGGCTGAGACAGAGATCCTGAGTGGAGGCCAGTTTAGACACCGTGAAACCCTGTCTCCAAAAATCTCTTTACCCTACACGCTTATCTGTATTTCCTTGACAGCTCATTTCTTTTATAAAGTCATAGCAAAAATAGTCTAAGCTGTTTACCTTCTTATTTATCTAGTACCTGCCAACTGCTTGTCATGGTCTGAAGCATTAGTCATCAGACAACTTTAAACATAGGGAACACCATCTTGGGGATGTGTCGAGGACAAAAAGATGATTCATCCTGTGGTGTCAGGTGAAGAAAGGAAAAACCTCCAATGTGGGGGCCACTCTAAAAACTAAAATAGCCAAGCTTCCCCATGATTAAGAATCTAAAGGCTAAACATACTCAGATGAGCTCCACATGACAGAGACCCAGGATCCGTGTATTCTTTGAGGAAGCTAGTAATACCAAGTGGAAAGAAACCCCTATCAATAGAAAGGTGAATGCTGAGCACCTCAAGAAACAGGAATTTTTGATCTAGCAGTGACCAATCACTGGTCACTATGTGACCACAATTACAGCAAATAGAGAGCTGGAGCAATGAGATCTGAGGAAGGAACCTAAGCGGTGAAGCGAGAGCCCAGAATTAGAACTGGCCTTTCTGTCAACATGCAATACTGAGGTAAATCAAACAGGAATAGTTTTATACATATGTATGTTTTAAGTAAGCCAAGGAAATTCTGAACTCACATGACTCAATCCAAGTTATTCTAAGAAGAAGGTGACAGTGCAGTAATCACCTGGAGCTATTGCCCAGATGAGGTTTAATATTCACCAGGAAACACAAGGCACTTGCTCATAACTTGAGCTAGCTACACATCTAACAGATGGAAAGTCACGATGTAATCCTATCTGTACCCTAATCTGAATAAAATAGCCAGCCTGTACCCTATGAGTGAGAGTCTAGGTAAACCACACAGTTACAAGTGTTTCCCTGACAGAGTTCCTTCACCCACTATGCTGTTCTAATTATCAGCAGTTATGATGATGCTCATTTTCAATAACTGGTGAAAAATAAAATGCTATGTACATTAAGCCTAATAAGTCAGAGTGAAAACTACCAAAAATGATGACAACTGTCAGCCAGCTGCCTTTGATAAATAAATTCAAAAGAACCACGAAACAGCTTCTGAGGAGTATTCTAAACCCCCCTTTAAGTTCTTCCATAACTGACACCCTCACCTGAGGGAGAGTCCAGTGTAGTAAGACAGAAAGAAGCCTAATGTCTGCAATTCTTCCACACCTCTCTAGGTGGCAGCATGGTTGGTGGCATATTAACTAGCTCAACACCCTTTAGCAGCTACAAATGAAAGAAAAGGCCACACTTCTCTCAATTAAAACAGAGACAGATGAGTAAAACTATGTTAATCATTTGATTCCAAAGGCAGCCATTATTTAGCTCAAGAAGACAGCAGAAAGGGATATTTCCCAGAGAGAGCCACTGTGCCAATGGCCACCAAGGAAGGAGGGTATCCAGTGACAACAGACACCTTACTAACATGCCCAACCTTATTCCCCTCTAAATACACTATTATAATTTTCATCATGGCTACTAGCCACCTCCTCCAAATACTTCTAAAGAACCCGAAATTTCCCAGGGGGCAATTGCTTCTATGCCTTATCTGGGACAAAATGGAAGAGTGAAGAAGGGAGAGGGATGGCAAGAGGGAGGAAGCGCAAATGCTAACAGGGAAGAAACACTACCTGAGATAACCCTGCCCCCAGAGGGGGCAAGACACGAACCTTGACCTCTTTACCTTGCTTCTTAATATGGGAATTCTAGACTTTTAATAACTTAAAGAAGTAAAATTCCTGTGCATATATTTACTGTGAAAATTGCATCTTTTATAATATTTGGTCCTAGTTTAAGAAAGATGTGAAAATGAAAATCCTCATAGTATCAGGAGGAAGAGTCTGCAGCTGTCCTCTTTAGTAAGTGGGCTAAGAGCTATCAAACAATGGTTTAAATCATAGAAGGCTATATTTTGTTTTCAATTCTGTGGCGTCAATATAAAATATTTAACTCAATGCAATTATTTGGCCTAGTCATTTACTTCCTTAGCTCCCTTAAAATCATCTTCTGTAATAAGTCTACAGTGTCAAATGCTACATATATTTATGAATACATTTGCAGTAATAAGGATCAGACTGCTGTAAGTGCAGAAACGTTAGCAGCATACTGCATGACAAAACTCGGAAGCCTATCTGCAGTTCATTTGCAAGGATCTTTTTATGAGATGGGGAACATGTGCTGACCATACTTTCCCTTCAGAAGAATTCACTGTACCCTGTGACCAAAGCAGCAGCTCCTGGAATATATATTTAGGTTTTAGGAAACCTTACGGCTTCATAGTACTGATTCTACGCTCTTCAATTTTGACTTGGAAACCAACCACCCAATCAACTCCTGAAAGATCCTTCTTTCTAAGGAACATCAGGGACCATGACATAAGACCACTAGGTATAACAAGTTTAACATCAGAAGAGGGAGCTCTGAATAATTTGATTTTACTAACAAATGTTGGACAGTGTATGTTTGAACAGGGTAAAATAACTCATCCTCTAAAATACAAAATTTAATGGAGCTTCAGGAGCTTGCAGGCATGGACATGAGAAAACTATGAGCAGCTGCCACGAGGGAAAGAAACACACACTCTTCCCTAAGGAAGAATAAATAAAACTTCCATTCGGGTAAGGAGATAGGAAAACTTCATAACTGGTGTACACTTTGTGGGTTGTCTTGTATAATCAGTGCTTTACAAAGGTTTCCTAAGTTAACACCTCTCAAGGCAATCTACTGCAGTAAGAAGACTCCATGCTCACAATTCTCAAGCCAGTCAGCCTGTGCCCACAAACTCATGAGAACAGGCGCCTCTGATCAAGGGCACATTCCATTGCTGTGGAGCTTTTAGGACAACTGAGTTTTCCTTCCTTTCTACTTCCACCTCCTAATAGCTCAGCCTTCCTTTAACCCCTACAGCCAGGTGGCAGGGGCACTGCCCTCCGGTGCCGACAGAGGCAAAGGGGAGAGGCAGTGAAGGTGACAGGGCAGCAGGGAGGACCAGGGAGGATGAAAGGACCCGTGATTAGCTGCCTTCTTTACTTTTCTCTCTTCCCTTCACGTAACTGTTTTTCCAATCCACTTCAATTTGCCATTTTCACAGAAAAAAAAAAAAAACATTATCTGGAGAAATTTTATAATTATCACAAGAGGTTCAGTACAAAACAGATAAGTCGATCTTGGGTCTAGAGTAGACCAAAGAATGGGATAATTTACAGGTACCAAAATCTTTTTTGTTCCAGTCACTTTGAAGAGTTTCAATGTAACCCTGGTCTAGACTCCAGTTTGTTCTGCACTTTACAGGAATGAACTGTTTTGTCATTTACATTCTATCAGTCAGACCAACTTTCAAGAAACCTATATTTCAAGTCTCACAAGTGTGAAACAGGTAGGAAGAAATGGTTATAGACTGTATTAGCTCACAAGACTCACACTATAAAGTACACTGACTCAAATTTCTCTATTCTTTCACACCCACACACCCATTCAAGCATACACACTAGACATAAAAATTGTGCAAGATCAAGCATCAGCTTTCTATTTTAAAAGCCTTAATAGTAATTTTAAAAATGTCAATAGGCTCACTGCAGTTTCTTCAGAAGAATATTAAGTCCTACAGTACTCCCTTAGAAAAATTCACAACTCATTGTTAAGAACATGGTTGGTAACTGCTGCTTGACAATGACTTAACATTATTAGAGCATCCAGTGCCAGCTAGAACAACAATGAGATACACCTGACAATATGAACAAATAATCTGTGATGTCACCAACCCTAACAAACTTGATAATAAAATTCACTATGACAAATACTCATCTTTGCCTCATCACCACATGAAATGACATCTTTTAGGTTACATACTAAAGAGCAGCACCTGTCCTACTGCACAAACAAAGGGTGCCCACATGGGTGCTCTAACCCCCTCAATGTATAGCTGAGAGGTCTTGTCCTACTCAGTGCCAATGTTTGCAATGCAGTCACTGTTTGGGCAATGGCTGCACATTAGTAGGATTAAATAAATGTACAAGGTACCCTTTAAAATGGGTAAAGGGGTGCTCCTGCATTCAGCTGTGGAATATAGTAATTCAAGAAATGGAAGAGGAGAAACAGGAAACAGTCCTTAGGTTACTGATTAAAGCAAGGTTTGATACAGGTATCCCCTCTTGTAGGCACTCAGCGGGTAGAATGTAGCCACAACAAACTTTCCGTCAAACATCCTTCCAGTCAGCAATTTTTGAGCAGCTTTGGAATCACCAGCATTTGCGTACTCAACAAAGACCTGAGGGAGGTTAGAGAAGACAACATCATTTCACAACAGTGATTTTGGATTTAGATCATTGCTTTACCAACCTTAATGTATTCCCAATAATGTGCCGCATAACAACACCCATCAGTGAAAGACCATGTGAGACACGAGTCCCCTAAGATTAGAATAGTGAAAACTCATACTGCCTCATATTTTACTGTACCTTTCTGGCATTTATACCATTACCCATGCAGCATAGTTGCCTACAGTATTCAGGACAATAGTATCACAGGTTTGTAGCCCAGCAACAACAGACTTCATCATTCAGTCTAGGTGTCTTGTTGGCTTTATCGTGTAAGCAGGCATAATTGTCCTGTGTATCAGTTTACACAACAGAATCACAGAGATATATTTCTCACACTATTTCCTGTTATTAAATGACATGACTGTATATCACTTGGGGATTTTGTTAAAATACAGATTTTGCTTCCATCAGTCCAAAATACAGCTTCAGTGTCTATAATTCTTTTAGAAATTAATTCTCTGTGTATGTGTGTAAGTGTGTAAGTCAGAGGATAACTCTCAGGAGTCCATTTTCTCCTTCAACTTTGTGGGATCATGCAATTGAACATAGGCTGTCAAGCCTGCTCTCAAGTGCCTGCCCACAAAAACTTCTACCCCAAGCCATCCTATCTGCCTGTGTCTACTTCGTCACATTTCTTAAGTTGCAGTAGCAATGCTGACAATCCATTGAGCACACTTTATAATAGCATGTTTAAACACTTCCTTAGAACTCAGTTCAATTCATCAAATTCTTAAGAGCCATCAAAGACAAATTAGGTGAAAAAGCATACACATCTGAGTGAAACTCACAGTGTGAGTGATGAATTGTGATGAGTGACAAGTGATGAATAAACAGCCAGGGGAGGATGGAGAGCCCAGAGAGAAACTCCAACACTACCACAAAGACGCTACACTTGGAGAAATATCCAAACAAAGCTACTAGGAACTATGCCTGTTAAAATGGTTGTACAAAGTATAGACCAAAACTATAACAAACAAGCTCAAAACCAGTGATTTCCTTTCCCAGAGCATCTGAATCCTTCCCAAAGGTAGGGACTGGGACACAGAGTCATGTAAGCTCTCTTTGCTGAGAGAGCAGGGAAAGGAAATGATCTGGAATGACTTATTCTCAATTATCCTACATATTAAAAAAATGAATTAGACTCAAGAACTGCCTCTCTATTGTGTCCCTTATTCACTATGTCAAGAAATCCCCTGAGCTCCGACATTCAGAAATGTTTGAAGGCAATGTGAAAATGGATCCTAACAAAACTAACACTTAGATCCTCACTGTTCAGTTTCTTTTAGACAGGGTCCCAAGCCACCCAAGCTGGCCTAAACATGCTATGTAACAAGAAGTCCCTCAACTCCTCATTTTCTGCTTCTGCTTCTCAAATGCTGGAATGACAAGCATGTGCCACCTGCCTAACTTTACTATACACATTCTTTTGTGTTTTCCTAAAATTAATCTACCTACAAATTCAGGTACATTCCTAGTTTTCACCTCTGCTTTCACAGGAACCCTTCTCTCATTTGGAGAAAAAAAAAAAGAAAAGCCAAATTCATTTCCATGGAGTATAAAAGAAAAATTCCTGCAGAGTTCCATGTGCATAAATGTGTGTGTCTGTCTCTGCGTGCAGGTCAGAGGTTGAAGAAGGTATCTTCCTCAATCACTTTTCCATCTTTTTTTTTTCAATGATTTATTTATTTATTTATTTATTTATTTATTTTGTTGTTGTACTGTTGTGTTTCTGTGAGGATGTTGGTTCTCCTGGAACTGGAGTTGCAGACAGTTGTGAGATGTCATGTGGGTGCTGGGAACTGAACCTGGATCCTCTGGAAGAGCAGCCAGTGCTCTTAACCTTAGAGCCATTTCTCCAGTCCCTTTCCCACCTGATTTTTAAAGACAGGGTTTTTCAATGAACCAAAGCTCACCAACTAGCTAGAATGAAGAATCAAAAAGCCACAGGGTTTTTCCTGTTTCCAGTTCATGCTGAAACTGCAGATACATGACAACACACCTGGCTTTTTGCATCAATACCAGTAATTTAAATGGGTCTTCATGCTCAGATAGCAAGTCCTTTCCTATCTGTGCCATATCCCCCTAGTACTCAATTTTTTATGGAATATTCCTTCATTAATATACAAAGCCCTATGTGACCTATGCCTAGTCATTCTATCTCATGCAACTGTTATGCATATTATATAACATAAGACCTAAAGAATTAGGATCTCTGATGGAGTTTTCGGAATATATAGATGAAAATGGAGAGGTGGTGCTAATTTTGGTCTTTCCATATAACTATGTCTAAGCTATGCTCTTGAAGACACAGTAAGATTATCTAATGATAAAACATGCCTTATTTTTACACACACACACACATACACACACACACAAACTGAAAATAGGAAATCAGATAAAGTGACTTAGCTATTCTGAAACTCTAAAATATGTCATTAAATGGAAATAAAAGCATTTCCAAATGGCCCACGAGCTATAAGATAGTATCTACAATCAACAGGCATGGTGGCATGTGCCTGCAATCCTAGCCCTCAGGATGCTGTAACAGGAGGATTTGGTAGAATGCATAATCAAAAGTGATTGTACCACTCCTGATGAACATCTCTTGTGAGAGACATTCAGGGTAAGAAGGGCAGCTAATGTGCAGAGGCAAGGGCTGCTACTGCACAGTCTATACTCTACAGGGCAGTTCCCTCAACAAAGTGATGTGGCTTGAATGTTAACAGCAAGTAGAACAGAAACTTGAAATGTAGCAAAATATTCTGCTTCTCTAAAAGTAGAAATAATATAGACAAAGCATTTGCATTTTCTTATCCTCTTTGCCATGTGATTAGATTAGAGACAGTCTCTAGTAAAAGTGATGTGATCGTAGTTTTTACAGAGGAAGGCAATATGGACCATCACAGGCTAGTCAAACTGAGACAGAGCTCACACATGAGTCTCCATTCAGCATGTTTTTCTTGTGTAAATGATCACTAATCATGTCTATTGCAATCAGAACCTAATCCAACTGGGTTTCCAAGTGTACTTAATTCAAACAAAACTGAACCAAATAGTTCTCTAATTGAACATAATCAAAATTAACACACAATTCAATTGGTATCACTGTTTGCAATGGCTCAAAAGTACATTTTTTAAAAACAAAGTTTAAGTGATTACAAAAATCAAATATATTGTAGAACTTTTAGACAGGTAAAAGGCCTAAGTTAATGATAATCTATACCAAAAAATTTTGTGTACACCTTCCCACAGAACCCATCTAATATACAATTTTAATAATCTCCAAATAATTCTGCAATTATAAACAATTTCCTTACTTGTCCTCTGCCAGGATTTTCCTTTGGAACAAGCAGAGAAACCACTGGTCCATATTTTTGACACTCTTCTTTTACATCTTCTACAACATCTGGTTATAAAACCACACAACAGCAGGTAATTACTACTTGAGAATTCAGTGACACAGCTAAGTAATGATGTTATTTTCCTTACCTTGGGAAGAAAAGCTTAAGAATATAAATTCAACACATTAACAATTTCTTTTCTTCTTTCTTTCTTTCTTTCTTTTTTTTTTCTTTTTTTGGTTTTTTGAGACAGGGTTTCTCTGTATTGTTTTGGAGGCTGTCCTGGAACTCGCTCTGTAGACCAGGCAGGCCTTGAACTCACAGAGATCCGCCTGCCTCTGCCTTCCAAGTGCTGGGATTAAAAGCGTGCGCCACCAATGCCGGGCTCCACATTAACAATTTCTTACTAGCCGACATCTAATGTTTTAAATACATGAATTAAGAATTGAAAAAAAAAATCCCACTGTCATTCTGTTTCTCCTCTTGAAGTCAACCAGCACCACAGCTGTAGCTGACAAAGCATACACAAGCAAATACAATTTTATGTATTTTAAGCAAGAATTTCAACTTCTGTATTTCTTTAGTAAATCTCCGTGGTTTTGTATATTTGAAGAAAATTAAATGTATTTATTTTATGTGTATGTGTTTTGCCCGCATATACACCAGTGCACCATGTGAATGCAGTACCCAGAGCCCAGAAGAGGACCATTGTGAGCTGCTACGTGACTGGCAATCCATCTCTCTGCACAGTTTTCCATATTATTAAATGAAATCTTCTCAGCCGGGCATTGGTGGCGCACGCCTTTAATCCCAGCACTCGGGAGGCAGAGGCAGGCGGATCTCTGTGAGTTCGAGGCCAGCCTGGTCTACAAAGTGAGTTCCAGGACAGCCTCCAAAGCCACAGAGAAACCCTGTCTCGAAAAACCAAAAAAAGAAAAAAAAAAAAAAAAAAAGAAATCTTCTCATTTGTTTTTATGGCTGTATACTTTTGGAAAATTTACTATGTTAAAAAAATTACCTAGTGTCTCCTAACTTAACTATTTCAAAACTATTTGGTATTATAAACATTATTACTTATAATTCATTTAACTTCATTATTTCTCACAGTTGATATTCTAGAAATAACATTGCTAAGTCAAAACTAACGAACTTGCAGTGTTGTTAGAATTATCAGGTTGTCTTTCCTAGAGGTCTAATATAAACTCTTTCAAGCAGTATAATCAGAAATTTGATTTCCTATTCCCCATAGTTTTTGCTGTTTATGTGCCCAACAACAAAGACATAGTAATTTGGTTTGAAATGATGTCATTTGCTCTCTTCTACCACAAATGTTTATTGGGTGCTTACTATGCATTCTTTCAAGGGTGCTACATTCCAGTGTAACTATCTCATGAACAAGATCCAATTCTTAATCACAATAATCAAGCCTGTTAGGTATGTGCATACTGGCTATTGCTGCAACTTTAACTGTTTTCCAATAAATAAGTTAAGATACAATCATTCCGAGCTGCCTTCTCTGAACACGACACGCTTTCTACTTGATGTTACTTATTCCTACCCACTCAAGCTTTTAGATAATTAACCCTGTAGTGACAGCCCTCATCGACTGACCACTCAAGCTAGGATAAGTGCCCCTTTTCTCTGTCCTCATTTGTATATGTCAATCTTGCATTAATAACAAGAAATAATCCCATGGGGCACAGTAAATGTGTCTGAATGAAAAGCTGTTAAAAGCCAGAGAGAGAGAGAGAGAGAGAGAGAGAGAGAGAGAGAGAGAGAGAGAGAGAGAGAGATAAAAAGCAGAAATGACAGCACAGAGAAGGGACAGAAAAGACAGACCAGAGACAGAATCTTAAGGGTAAATCTCTATTAATTTCATAAAATGAAATGTCATACTCTGAATGACTTCATGAATCAATATTTTAGACATCAGAGTTCAAGGCTCTTTTTAAATTTTGTGTTTAGAAAAAGCTAGAAGAATCTTATGAATAAAATGTATATTACACAGACACTGGTCAGAGTCTGTGTGTAAGAAAGACATAATACAGTATAATTTAGAAAGTACTAACCTTCATATTCATCTTCATTTTCAAGGTAATCATCATCCAGTACATTGAGGAGTCTAAGCACTGGTGTCGGAAGCATCACCAGATCTTCAATATGAGGGGCTGTGAAAGTTCATGACAATATGGTTAAATACAGTAACTGATGAGCTGACCAAATATGTTGCCTGAGAGTACATACAGACAATTGCCAAATGACCAGGGATGGGAAATAATGATAGATACACTTACTTACCAAAAGGAATGCTAAAGAATGGGCTGCACAATGCCATCTCAGCAGGGATCCTTCTGCTTGGGTCATCATGAAGCATGCTAAAACACAACAGCATCATTATATTTACTGTCAGATCTTCTGAAAGTAAAACTATCAGAAAAAAAGGTTCAAGGTTCATTTCAGCACTACCTCTATTATCAAGAATTACTGAATCATCCCCGGTGGGGAACAGAAAGGCCAACTGAGCACCAGTGCAGTAAACCATGAAACATTTCTGACATAGCATCATGCTATGATTTAATGTTTATAACTAATAAACGGAACAAAGGAAAGTGATGTATATGCCATAGCACAATGGGGGGGGCTACACAAATGTTTATGGTAGCACAATTAAAAAACTAACAGACAAACAAAAAGCAAAACAAAAACCAGAAGATAGTGGGATAACTGAATTTTGCCGAATTCCCCTAATCTTAAAACAATTTTATGTAAAAATCTACAGGCAATACCATACCAACAAGACTATAAATAGTAGTAATGCTCATATAGTATAGATATTCATAAGAAAACAGAGAATAAACAAGTGTATGGATAATAAAAGAAAATAAAGAAGAAAAACAAAACGAAAAGCCAAACAGATACTCATCGGGAAGTATAGTAAGCCAATTTTAAAAGAGCAGATGAAACTACAATGGACTGCTGCTCTTATTCCAGCTAAACACAAGCGAGCCTCTGGGAAATCCTAAGAGCTAGAGTAACCCAGAAACTAAGACTTCCTAAAATAACCAGCAAGGACACCTTCACGGAAAATCCCAGTGAGGAAAAAAAATTGGGAAAAGAATTCAAATGATCAAAATGGGGAAGACAGGACGACAGACAGCAGGAAAGAGGGATTTATGGGGGTGTGGGGACAAGGAAGAAGACAGATCAAAGGGGGGACCACACCTTCATCGCCTCTTGTTTGTTGATGTGAGACAAAATCTCACATGTAGCTCAAGACAGCCTCAAGCTACAGCTCTCCTGCCTCAGTCTCCCAAACACCAGGGTTATAGTGTGCATCCTCAAGACTGGCTCTCCTTTAACATTACATAAAAACAGCAGAAGAATGACACTTATATAACTAGAAAGGCTATCTTAATTGTTCTGTTTTGTCTAAGACAAGGTCTCACTATGTAGCTCTGGCTAGCCTAGAACTTTCTTTGTAGACCAGATTGGCCTTGAACTCACAGAGATTCTCCTGCCACTGCCCTGGAGTGCTGGGATTAAAGGTATATGACACCTCACCTGGCTAAAATTCCTAATGGGAGTTCTATTTGCATAAACGGGCAAATCAGTAACAGTAATATAAAATTCAAGACAAAAAAAACCTTTAGTTGGTAAAGGTCTGCAAAGTAAGTTATACTTTGTCTAACATACCTTTTGATAAGGTCTCTGAGGTGATAGGCTGGAATTGCGGCATTCACCACTGCTTTACTGGCAAATATATGATCAATAATAGCAGAACTGTTTGCCTGAAAGAGAGAAAAGTCTTCCTTAGGTTATTCAGCTCAGCTTGCATTTATTGAGCAGTAGCCATGGGACACTATTCCCTAAGTAACATGCAATACCTCTTCTAGGAACTTACAGTCTTATTGAAGAAGACTGCATTATAGTGAATTTCTAGAGGCGCTAAAACAATACCTGGCACTATGAACAGCTCCAAAATGAATGCGTAAAACTTGAGATACAATCTTGCCGGGTGTTGGTGGCACATGACTTTAATCCCAGCACTCGGGAGGCAGAGGCAAGCAGATCTCTGTGAGTTTGAGACCAACCTGGTCTACAAGAGCTAGTTCTAGGACAGCCTCCAAAGCCACAGAGAAACCCTGTCTCGAAAAACAAAAACAAACAAACAAACAAACAAAAAAACCTTGAGATACAATCTTATGAATGAATGTAATAGGTGAGTCACAGTGCCTACTGAAGAGTCTTAGTTGGCATTCGGGTGAATGCCACATTATCCACATTCCATCTGTAGACGCTAGCACTCAGTCCTTGAGTACTGTGACGATTATCTCCATTGTCAATTTAGAATCACTGAAGACCCTGTGGAGGTACACACACCTCCCGGGTCTGCACACTAGCACATGTCTGGAGATTAAGAAGGCCTACACAGCATGTTAGTGGCACCATCTCACAGGCTTGGAAACAAAAAAAGGAAAAAGAGAGACAGTCAGCCAAGCACTAGAATGCCCCCTCTCTGCTTCCTAGCCACCAAGACGCAAACTGCTGCCACAATGCCAAACCCTTCCTGACACAAGGACCAATACTTCTAAAACCGTTACCCAAAATAAATATTTCCCGTAGCTACAAAAATGTAACTAACAATATGCAGCAAGTACTATACTAACTCAAAATGCAGACACCTAACATAACTGGAATCTACTGGTTACTTACAACCCACTATGCTGAAAAACTATGCAACATTTCTTCTTCTTCTTCTTCTTTTTTTTTTTTTTTTTTTTGGTTGTTTTTGAGACAGAGTTTCTCTGTATTGGAGGCTGTCCTGGAACTTGCTTGGTAGACCAGGCTGGCCTTGAACTCAAGAGATCTGCCTGCCTCTGCCTCCTGAGTGCTGGGATTAAAGGCACGTGTCAATACCACCAGGCAGTTAGATGTTTATCATTAAAATATTATTTCAAATACTTGCTGCTTCAAATGAGATTTAACAATAATTTCAAAGTATTACATATCAAACCTCAAGCCTAAAGGACACTGAGAATATCATAATGAAGCATCACAATATATTTGAAGAACTAATTACAATTATTTCCTAACATAGAGACATACAGAAGGTTCATTTCAATGCCTGAGGTTTGGAACTTAAAACCATGCTCCCTCATAAACACCAAAAGCAGTTGACACGATATCACAGTCACATAAGCTAACTAGCCAGTGATGAATGTACAACAGCCTATGGAATATTAATAAATACAAAGTACTATGGAATCATGGAAAACTTCCAACAGGAGAACCAGCTATATTATATAACTGAGCCTTTAGCAGACAATACCCATTCTACCCTCATAGGACTGTTCAGACAATTCAACATGATTGTGCTATAAAGTAATTTTTAACTGTAGAACATTGTTAAAAGTGCCTCCCAAGCTCTGGGATTAAAGGCATGCGCCACCACGTCCAACTAACAAAGGGAATTTCTTTGGCCAGTTTGGGAAAATACACTCAAACATTTCAGAAAGTGCTTACTACACTCAAGAACCTAGATTAACAGCTGTGAGGCTGCAACAGCATCGGTGTATTTGAGGCTGTCGGGATGAGTAGAGGTGTTGAAGGTACTACAGAGAGCAGGCCATCAAAAAATCTTCATAAAGCAAATTCCTAAACTGACACAGTGATGAAGAGCCCCGAAGCTAAACCCTCATGCAGTTTACCTTCCATTCCTGAGATCTGACTGTGTGTTTCAGTTTCATGCCTGAGAACATTTCCAGTAAAATGATTCCGAGGCTCCACAGGTCAACAGCTGAGGTACACTCTGTATCACTCTGCAGGCCAGCCTGGGCCAGACAGTTCTGCAGTTCTGCTTCTGGAGCTCGATAGCCGTCTGTCTGAATATACTTTACATCCTACGAAGACCAAGAAACACTACAGCCTTAAGAAGGGTCTCACTTTGCATCCTTCTCTACCAGCACTCTTCAAAGGCACAGTAGGTCACCCACAAAATGAATGCCATAAACTTTAGTCCTCATCTACCATAATTCCTCAGTTCCTTAACTGGGCAGTTAGAACAGAAAAGTTGGACACATTCCATGCAGTTGATCAATAAGTCTTTTTTTAAAAGATAGTTTCTTACATATTATGCACAGATGATAAATAAAGACCTCCTGCAAAAACCTGACAGATTCAAGGCAAGTAAGGACTTGCCTGAACTGTCACATCTGCCATCAGCCATGAATGCTCCAAACCAAAGAAACAGGAGCGGCAACCTCATCACTCAGCAAGTGCTGACGGACTGACAGGCTTGCCATGTAGGCTAAGTATGTTTATTCATTTCTGAGCTCTCCTGAGCCTTGCTAACTCTTTATACCTGACCCAAATTTATGTTACCGTTTCACAAAGCAGAACTGAAATCCTTTCTCTCTTAGAAATACGCTGGTATTTTGGAAATGCCCCTGTAGTCCCTAAACTACCATTGTTATTAAAAATCTTTGGCTTGAACCATCACATTTTAAACCATAATGGAAAAAAAAGGCATTTCTTACCTGATTGCCTTCTTTGAAGCTAAGCCCAAAGTCAATTAGCTTAAAGCATTCATTCTCAGCACTCCACAGTATGTTTCGTGGTTTGAGGTCTGCGTGGACATAGCCCTCATGGTGAAGAAAAGCAAGGGCCTCCAAAACGTCTCTGGCACAATGCTGTATCATCCACATGGAGCAACCCTGGTGACTGGAATACAAGAGCAATTCCGAAACACTGACATCCAGGAGTTCAAGCAACAGACAGCGGGATGGCACATTTGGAGAGAAGTGTATGGTAAAGACTCCATATAAAGTCACTAGAAAAAGAAAAAAATGACAATACTTTAAAAATCAAATTCACAGTAACTCCCTACGAAAGCAGTTAACTCTTCCATATAAATCTGGGATAGTCTAGACAAAGAGAACTTTATATTTATGTGAGCACACACACACACACACACACACACATACACACACGTGTACGTGAGACTGTTACAGTAAAAAAAAAAGAATTGCTCTCTAGGTAGATATTGTTTCCTTTCCTCCCTTAAGAGTTAACACAGTTGGTGGGTCAATGACCATCTAAGAGCCTACCCCTAGCTATGCTAAAGATGTAGAAGTATTAGTCATTTTATGACATATTTTTTTTCCTCCAGAATTCCTGCGCCTGGCCCAGTCTCTTACAAAACAAACCATGCTTTTTACAATTACACCTTCTCCAAAGCAACCTCCAGGCCTTGTGGTTGTCTGACCACCCTCACCCCTACCAAACATGGCTGGCCTCCAAGATGGCTTACAACAAGCAACATGGTTTCTTCTTTTATTTTATTTTCTCCTTCTATGGGCAGCTGCTAAAATCTACAGATTGTCTTCCCTGGGGTTTTTCTTTTAAACTCCAACACAATTGTCCCCAAGCCTTTCCCCAGTGTCATTTGACTACTGAGGCAGTATGCCTCAAAATCTCTGGCAACATTGGGAAATGAACTCAAGTCTTCTGCAAGAACAGCTGAGCTACTCTACGCCCTGCTCCCAGGTAAGAATAATTTTAAATAGCAAGAAACTTCCACTGTTTTTCCAGTGAGTAAGATCTTTGGACATTGGAATTATCTAAATACTGTATATGGCAGGAGTGGGTGAATATCTACTTAAGGTGTCAAGGAAAAATATTAAAAGTAAAAACTGTAATATTAAGTAACCCTTAAAAATAAATTGAAGGTTGGTTGATTCAAATTAGCATTCTATGCTCTAAACCGTGTAAAAAAAATCAAAACTTTGAAGAAAACATTTTAATGTAATCATGCAGACATTCAACAAATACAGAGGCTTGCAAAAATTCTCCCTGTCAAATGGCAAGGTAATAGTGATATTCCACTTAGCAAGCTTAACAAAAGATAAACAACACTATCAGAAAAATCAATCTGCCCACGCAGTATTATAAAAAGGGTCTTTCCTCGATTTATACATGGATTCTATATACCAAGATGTATGACCAATGCAAGCTTACATTCTGAATATCTGAGTCATGAAAGTCTTACTGAAGCAAATGCAATGCTCCTAAATTTCACACTTTCATAACTTCTAGGTAATACTGAGTCCCCTCTTCCAAATCCACACTATATATGTATCATCTGAGTAGCCAGTATGTCAGCAGATGTCACTGATATCAATGGATGCCACAGCCCTTAAGTATTTTCCACTTTCTATCGGAAGGAAAAGATGCAAAATTTTCCACTCAAGATATGACAACCTTGCAAAGGAATGCCTGTCGCTGAAGAAGGCATTTCTCTATGCTACTAAGTATCGGCTGAAAATCAAAGCAAACAGGACTTTCCTAAGCACCGCAAATGTGATAATCACCTCCACCATACCTCAGAGAGCTGCAAGGTAAAGGCGGACGGAAAAGAGACCTGCATCGGGGCCCAATTCTCTCCTCCCATCTAAAGGACCAAAAGCCGGGAGGAAGAGAGGACCGGGAGGACATGTATGCTGGGACGGGACCTGGGCAAGACATGGCAGACAGCCACAATTACCGATGTTCCTGTGACCCTGCAACTGCTCCAGCGCCGCCCTCTCTTTGCGGAAACCATATTCCGCGGCCGAGGCCGCAGCCCCGGTGGTTCCGGGAGGCAGGAACTGCTTGAGGGCTCCGGGGGGCGAGCCCGGGGTGCCGCAGCAGCGCACCCGATACACCGAGGCCGACGAGCCGCTGCCCAGGCGGCTCTGTACCTGCCACAGCCGCCCGAAGGCCTCCAGGAAGCGCGGTGGCTCGGCACCCCACGCGCAGCCGGACCCCGCCATGGTGCGGGCTGGGGCGAGGACACGCGAGCCGACACGACGCACCAGGCAGGCCCGCGGCGCCCGCCGTCACATCCCCGCCCGGACCCGCCGCTCCGCAGGGAGGGGCCCGCAGAGCCCGCACCGACTACCGGGACCTCAGGTCGCCATGACACCGGAACCTGGAGTGCGCCTAGACCCAGCAGCCGGAAGTGGGGGGAGCCAATCCTAGAAGTAGGCGGGACTAGGAGAGGCGGGGCCTCAGGAGGTGAAAAAAACTAATTTGTTTCGCAAAAAAATGACTGTGAGATATTAAACTCAATTATTGGTCCTGTGAGTGGAGCACAGTAGTAGAGTGCTTACCTAGCATGCGCGAGGAAGGCCCTGGGTCCAGTACCCACCAACACACACGCCAATTATTTACTTTTATTTCTTATTTTTAAAGATTTATTATAGTTGTATTTTTATGTTTGTGTGTTTATGTCACGTGTGTGTGAGAAGTCAGAAGAAGATGTCATATCCTTTGCTGCTGGAGTTACAGGTGGTTGTGAGCTGCCTGGTTTTCGTGATGGGAACTGAACCCTCTTAGCCACTGAACTATTTTTTTTTTTTTGAAACAGGATTTCACTGTGTGACTCTGACTGTCTTAGATCTCGCTTTGTAGATCAGGCTGGCCTAGAACCTACAGAGATCTGCCCGCCTCTGCCTCCCAAGTGTTAGGACTAAAGGCGTGTGTGTAGCACCACACCCAGCTTGCTATCCTATTTTTTAATTGCCTATAATTGCAAGCCCAATGCGACCTACATGCTTGCTCATCTGCCTGGTATCCATCATCACTGCCTTCCTTTCTAATATAACCCTGATTTTGTTTAGGACAATCATGTGCAAAAAAGAAATATGTGCCCATGGGACTGGAGAGATGGCTCAGTGGTTAAGAGCACTGTCAGCAACTCTGATTCCCAGAACTCACATGGTGGTTCACAACCATGTATAACTTCATAACTATTCTAGAGAATTTGATACCCTCTTCTGGGCTGCATGGGAACCAGACATGTATGTGGTACATAGACCAGGCTAGCCTCAAGCTCAGACATCCACCTGCCTCTGCCTCCCAATCTGGGATTAAAGGTGCAGTGTCTGGCTGAGAGTAATAATATTTTTAAAGATTGTCGATAGGGAATAAAATACCTTGTAAGTCCTTATCATGGTATTTACTACAGTGCATGTTCTCCATAAACACTAGATGCTATTATTTTTTTAAAAAAGGAAAAAGAAATACGTCCTTCCTCAGAGCTGATTTTCACCACGCCTTCCGGTCTGGTTAATGAAAACTTCCTGCGTAACTGCCAAAGGTTTGTTGAAAGTTTTGCTTGACTCATGTGGACATTGTGTTTTCTTCTCTGTCACTTCCTTTCTCCTGCTTAAAAAAAAAAAGCATAAAGCTAAAGACAGGTTAGTCATCTTGTGTCCATGCAGCAACTGAAAGAATGAAAGTCAGATACTAAGGTATTAATTGTATATAGACATATTGTAACAAAGAAAGCCAAAATGCAGTGTCCTAAATATGGAAACATTTCTTTCTCTAAAGCAGAGGATCTGCCATTCTCCATGGGGCTTCTATCTTTGGGACCTATGTATTTATTTTGCTTGTCATCATTTCATGGTTTTGAGAATGGGGAAAGAAACCAGAGAAGCACAAACCTGATTCTGATGAGGATAAGCCCTAGAATGTTACTCATTATTTATATTCTTTTTGTTTGTTTGTTTTTTGAGACTTGGTTTCTCTGTAGCTTTGTAGCCTGTCCCAGAACTCAATCTGCACACCAAGTTGACATCAAACTCACAGAAATCTGCCTGCCTCTACCTCCTGAGTGCTGGGATTAAAGGCATGTGCCACCAACGCCCGGCCCTCATTATTTCTATTCTTATTCATTTAGCTGGTGCTTAGCTAGCCATATGTCCTCAGCTAGCCAGCAGATAGTCTGGGAAACAAAAGCATAATTCAGTTACTAATGGAAGAAGAGAAGAATGGATGTTTATGGACAAAAGCAAGTCTACCTTACTCATGCCCCAGCAGAAACACAGAAGGCTTCTTGGTTCTTGACAGCTTTGTAGAAATCTATTCTACTTCCCATAGTCATCCTCCAGACATCTTGCTCTGTCTGTGTGTGTGTGTGTGTGTGTGTGTGTGTGTGTGTGTGTGTGGTGGGGTACTATTTGATTAAAGCCTGTTATTGTTTTAACAATATGATAACTAATTTTTAATGCAGGTAAATATACATACTATAGCACTTACCACATTAATCATTTTTAAATGTACAGGTGAGTAATATTAAGTACATTTACAGTGTGCAAACATTACCAACAGCCATCTACACAATTTGTTTCATCTTGCAGAACTTAAGCTCTCTTCCCATTAAACTCCAATCCCTCTTTTCTCCTGCCACCATTCTATTTTGATTCTCATCCATAGGCCTCCTTTCAGTCTGTTAATTTCGTTCCTACAAATCACCATCCAGCATACCACTCAGACTAACATGGATAACCTCTTGATGACTGAATACAAATACCAGCCCACAACTCACCTTTAATCCCAGCATTTAGGAGGCAGAGGCAGATGGATCTCTGTGAGTCTGAGGCCAGCCTAGTCTACAAAGCAAGTTCCAGGACAGCCAGGGCTGTTAAACAGAGAAACCTTGTCTCAAACAAAAGTCCCTGTTCCAGCTCAATAAATAATAGATAAATAAACAAACAAAAAATCACTAACTGACCAAATGGCATGAGAGAAGAGGGAGGGGATCTTGACCTTGACCTCCACCAAGCTCCAGTTCCAGCAGGAAGTAGCCTGAACTGCAGCTGACACCTGTAAATCCCTGGGGCCCCATCTCTCGCTACTCCCTTTTCTAGAGTCTTTCTTTTATATATGCAAAATGTAGGAATGTCAGATTACAGAAGCCACCTGAGTAGAGGGATCATCCATCCTTATAGTCTATCTAGTACTACACACACACACACACACACACACACACACACACACACACACACACACACCAAGCTGCTAAATTCTTAGCATGTAGCAACCCCAAGATATGCTGGGAAAATAGAACTTCCTAAATTATATTATGGATTTGTATTCTTTACCAATGTGTTAAATTCCGATTCCCCTCCCTCTAAGCTCAGAGACTCTTCCTTCTAAAGTCTATAAATGTAAGATAATGAGTTTTTTTGTACTATGTGTTGCTGTTAGATTTCCTATCCCACCTTCCACAACTGTGAATAGCTGGCATTACCAGAAGATATTCTACCTCAAAGAAAAAAACCAAAAAAACAAATGAAGAAACCCTAACTGGGCCTGGTGGCACAGGCCTGTAATCTAGCTACTTGGGAGGCGGAGGCAGGAGAATCTCAAATTCAAGATAGACCTGGACCATTTGAGTAGGCTCAAGGCCAAGCTGTGTAATTTATCAAGACTGCATTTCATAATATATTTTTTAGAAACTTTAAAAGTTCTTGAGATATATCATAACTCTGATTGTAAAATATGAGGGTACTCTAGATTAAATCTTCAGTACCTTCAACATGATACATACAAAACTATAAGTAGTTTTGAAATAAAAGAATAAATGTACAGTAATTTGTCTTACTTAGCAGTGTCTATTTCAGAATCAGCAGTTTTTCTGATTTTGTTTACTCAGTGAAGTCATTTGACATTGCCTACTTTAAAATTTTGAAATCAGTGTGGAGATTCCTCAGGAAAATGGAACTCAGTCTACCACAAGACCCAGCAATTTCACTCTTAGGCATATACCCAAAAGATGCCCATTCACACAACAAGGATGTCTGTTCCATCAAGTTCATTGCAGCATTATATGTAATAGCTAGATCCTGGAAGCAACCTAGATGCCCCACAACTGAACAGTGGATAGAGAAAATGTGGTACATTTACACAATGGAGTACTACTCAGCAGAAAAAAACAATGGAATCTTGAAATTTGCAGGCAAATGGATGGCACTAGAAGAAACCAATGAGGTAACCCAGTCACAAAAAGACAAACATGGTATGTTCTCATTCACTTATGGATTTTAGACATGGATCAGGGGAGTGTCAACCTGCAATCCCAGTGTCAGTGAGTCTGGGAAACAGGGAGGTTCCCAAGAGATATGCATGATACCCCAGAGAAGTGGAATGAGGCAAGAGCTCCTGAGCAGATTGGGAACATCAGGGGAGGGGAGAGGGAAACAGGAAAAAGAGAGGGGGATAAGAGAACGTGAGAAGAAGGTATGAGTGAGCAGGAAGGTTGAATCAAGGCAAGAATAGAGGAGAGCAGGATGAGAGATACCATAATATATCGAGTCATTATAGGCTTGAGGAGAGAGCTGACACTAGTGAGATCTCCAGAGATCTACAAGGATAACACCAACTGGCAAACTAAGCAATAGTGGAGAGACTACATTAATTGCCCCTCCTTGATGATAGGGTTGATGACTACCTTATATGCCGTCCTAGAACCTTCATTCACTGACTGATGGAAGCAGAGACAGATACCTACAGCTAAACACTGAACTACACTCCTGGAACCTAGTGACAGAGATGGAGGAGTGATGAGCAAAGGGGTCAAGACCATGATGGTAAAACCCACAAAGACAGCTGACTGGATAAGGGGAAGCTCTTGAATCCCAGACTGATGTCTGAGAGGCCAACAGGGGACTGATCCAGACTCCATGAATGTAGTACCAGTGAGAAGGCCACAGAAATCACTGGGGCCTTGGGTAGTAAGTAGATCAGTGTTTACCATGATGTATGAATGATCCTTGGGAGCCCATTCCAAGTAGAGGGATGCTCTCTCAGCCTGGACACATGGGGAAGAGCCTAGGTCCTGCCCTGGGTGAAATGACAGACTTTGGAGATTCCCCCCCAAGGAGGGCCTCACCCTCCCTGGGGAATGATGTGGGAATTGGGTAGGGGGTTGGGGGGGGTGGTAGAGGGATTAGGGAGGAGGGGTGGGAGAGGGAGCTGGGATTGACATGGGGAGCATTTATGTTTCTAATTTAAATAAAAAAATTAAAAAAAATTTTTGTCACTAGGCTTGAGCCAGAGAGATGGCTGAGCGGTTAAGAGATGGCTATTCACGTAGGTTTTGAGTTCAATTCCCAGCAATCATATGGTCTTCCAACTATTCTATAATGGAA